TAGAAAACCCAAATTAGGGTTCATAAAACCCTAATTTTGGATATATGGGTTTTGGACTACCGAGACCCACATGTTTAGATGACCGAACTGGGATTTTTTATTAAGCCAGCCACACTACATAATTGACCCAATAAATTGATGGACTAAATAGATTAAGTCCTTAACATAGCATATACGACTAATAGATACAAACTTGACATTCATTGCTCCAACACAAACCTTATCCCTCTGCACCATACATGTGAAGAAACGATGTTACTCGGAGTTATAGACTTTCGGGGGCATTGCATATGCTCACATAGAAAATGGAAAGTTGAATCCAAGAGAAATAGGAGGCATTTTTATTTGTTATAAATCGGTTTTGAAAGGCTAAAAGTTTAGGAATCCAGAGACTAACACAATTATTACCGGCTATGTAACATCCTGTTTGGAATTAAATAAATAATGAACTCTAAAACTCCTAGAAGTAATTTTTATGATTATTTTATACATATTATGGTAGCCAAAATAAATAATATTTAGCAAGGTGTTGGTTTCGGGTAGCCAAATGATATAATTTTGGATTCTGGGGGTTAAAAGTGTAAGTTTTTTATTTAATTTGAAAAGGATTTCAGAAGTCAGGGTCTGTTTAGTAATTAACGGACTTAAATTGAAAGGATTTGAAGGCTTAGGGGGTTGATTGGTAATTTTGGGACCCATTATGAAAGGACTTTTGGAGATAGGGGTTAAAAAGGTAAATTATGGACTTCTTTTGGGAAGATTCTTATGAGGGAGGGACCATTGTTGTCATTATTGAAAAATCTTTGGAAGGGTATTGGGTATATAGCACTCTTGTAACCCTTACCCTAATGCATAACCTCAACCGCCACCTTCACCTCCCAGTCCCTCCGGCACCACCACCTTATACCCCCATCCTTCCTCCGCCACCGCATAGCCACCATTGAGGCTGGAAACCATCGGAGCCAATCCTTTTCTACATCAGAAAGAGAGAAAGGCAGTCGAAAGTTGTTGTTTTGAATCGCCGCAACCGCTGAAGACGATGAGCCGCCACCATAACCGTTTTTGATCAACGAAAGGCCGCCAGCGACCACATGACTGTCGACGGACGTAAAGTGATGTTGTTGTCGTCACGAATCGACCATACTTCCTTGTCGGTGACGACGAGGACCCCCAGCGGGTCCATTCTTCTATCGTTGCATTGTCGTCATTTTGTGATGCTACCACCGTTCGTTGAATGCTACCAGGTGGGTGGTTGCTTTCGGATCTCGAGCAAAGCGTATGTGTGGTTGTTACCATATTATACCGCCATGCTATCCTAATCAGCTGTCACTAGCCACAATGAAAGGTGGTTATGTGCGTGTTTTGGTGCGTTTGTGTGTATTTCTGCAGTGAATAGTGTTGTATGTGGGTTGTTTGGCCGGAAATCGCGAGAAAGGCCACCACCGCCACCATGAGGTGGTGGCTGACACCAACTACCACCGCCGGCCACCACAAGGGTGGTTGTGTGTGTGTTTATTTTTGTGTTAAAGCATTGTAAATTGTAATTAGTGAATAGTATAATAAAAAAACTCATAACAACCACCGTAAGGTGGTGGCTACCGCCACCAGCCGTCGTGTTGGGTGGTGGTGTGCCTTGTTTGTGTTTTGATTTATTTGGGATGCTTGGATAAAATGGGGTACAACCATAACCACCACTATAAGGTGTCCGCCACCGCTGTAAGCTGTCGTTGACCACCACTACCCGAGGTGGTAGTGGCTGGTGCCCGACCTATGAAACCCTAGTGGGCCTAATGAAACCCTAATTGATCTAAAGACTTAGTTTTGGGGCTATTGGGCTATGATTTATATATATATATAATAATATATATATATATATATATATATATATATATATATATATATATATAATATATATATAAAGAGAGAGAGAGAGAATAACAAATTACATATTCAAATAAAAAAAATAGTTTGACATAATTTAAATAGTTGAAGTTTAACATCTAAATATTTATATACCTCAAGTCAAATCAGTAATTCTAGATCTTTCATCAACCGTATCATCAATAATGATAATCGGTTGTTCCAAAGTTAAGTCGTTAAAAGCTATATGTGAAAATAAAGAGAAAACATTAAAATTATATATTGAAAGAAACTCAATACACACAAGTACAATTACACAAACCTAACCTTCTTCGATTTTCTCTATTTCAAGTAGTAGATAATCAACCATACCTGAATTATAAAAAATACATGTCCAATCTTGTATACACACCAATCCTTCCACCATTCTTGGAGTTAAATCAGTCCATAAACAATCAACTGCATTCAAGTATCATTTAAGAATCTATCATGTTTATTTGTTTACACATATAGCTACAAAACGTATAGCTACATGTTTAGTAGTAGACTAGTAACAAAACAAAAGAAAAGCATTACATAACGTGTGTAGACATGTACTATACTAGCAACTAACCCGTTAAAAAATGGGATGAGTCGAACTCAGAAAAGGGGAATATTCTTTTATTCGATCGTTGCTTTGGAAGAAGATGAGAACTTAGTAATTGTGAAGGTCTGTATCTAGTGTCAACAACTCTCGGAAAAGTTGAAGATCTTTCTATTCAACAAGTGAAAGTCTTAAGGTCGAGGAGAATTGATCGCTTTGGTTTGGAAAGAACTGAGATTTCAAGATTTGTGTCCTAACCCTACCAAGTACCAATAACGTCCCTTTTGGGTTTGAGTTTTTTAAAGTGGACCCTTCAAACTAGAAAATTATTTAAAAATAGCTAATATATAGATTTCAGATGTCGGATATCCGAACTATCCGAACTTTTATGAAATCACTATCCGTATCCGAATCCGAATAACTTGATATCCGAATTTCAGATATCTAGATTTTCAAATATTTTCAAATCAATTTTCTAAAATTTTGAATTGGATTTTCGGATATGGATATTTTTGAACACCCCAGGTGTAGCTTGTGGGCTTAGGTAACACATATGCGTATATCGTATTTGTTGTAAGATTGCAGGTAGGATCGTAAGATTGTAGGTAGGATCGTAGGATCGAGATCCGATCCGATCCTACCTTCGCTTGATTTTTTTTTGCAAATGAATTGTTTTACAATTTTATGTCTTTTACCCTTTACCAATTTACCATTTATTATTTTGTATTGTGACTTATGACTAATATTTTGAAGTTTTTATAACTTTTGAATGAAAAATTGAATGTTTGAAATATTTTTCATGATTAAAAATTATAAATTAAAATTATATCTTATTTTGTGGGATCTTAGGATCCCGATCCCGATCATACGATCCCGATTTTGCAAACCCAAAAACGATTCTAAGTAGGATCCCGATCTTAACAACCTTGTTCATTTCCTAAACCCATAGATTTGTACCATGATTCTCCTTAAGCATGTTGATTTTCATGACAGTGCTTGGATTCTAGTGGATCACACTATTGATCCTGAAAATACCAAAAATTTCTACAGGGAAACATTGCTTTGTCGACACCACGAGGTTCTTCTCCCCAATCTTATTATATTGCAAACAGGTCCTATGAGGGTTATTCTAACAGCTTGGATTTATGGTTTTTTTTTTTTTTTGAAAATTTCAGAAAAAAAAAATGTGGTTGTTTGATCGGTTTGCAACCCCTGGAACAAAAGTTTTCTCTGTACATTTTTTTATTGGACTGAAAGTCTGAAACAACACTAAAAGAAATTGGGTACAAATATTTTCAGACAAAAACATTGCAAAATACCATAAATTGTCATTTCACATCCTCTTTACTTTTCTAAAATAAAATCCATCCGCATTACTAAAGCAAGCTAGTCATCGTCATCTGCTTTTTTGTCGGATGTTCATTTAAATTTCTGCAAGAAAATAGTAATATAAAATTACTTTGTCATAACTACTCGAATTTTATATTTCATTGAAATAAAGTATTTCCTAAAAGTCCAATTTGTCCCGCACACAAATGTCTTGGTTTGATTTTCAAGATGTGACGGAGTTGGACGGCAACAAAGGTAAGATTGCATTTTAAAATTTTAAATAATCTGTGACCACAAAAATGTGAAGAAACTTATAAGGTTTTTATGTTCTTTGTATTTTAAGGTTTATGGATAATGATGGAAATCATCTAACACGAAACGATTAACGACTTCACAGAGGCATTTCAAGCAACTTGTTTTCCTTACTTCATTTCATTTAACCCTGGCTATCATCAGTCAAAATAATAATTATTACGACAGATATTATTTTAATGATAAATCAGTTAAACTGGCTATCATCGGTCATAATAATAATTATTACACGACAGATATTATGTAATAAAATAATATATATTATTTTAGTGATAAATAATAAAAAGATGACCACACGATTAGACGTTTTTAATAAAGTTGAAACAATCTATTTCAGTTGATTAATTAAATTGAATTTCAAGATAACTTAGTCGATATCGTGATCTTTTACAACAAGATTAGCTCAAGAGTATGACACAACGCTTTAGAGTTTAGACACTTTTAAATCAATCAAAAATACAAAATGCAACAAGTCAACCCTTATCATCTCGTTATAAATTCGATTTGGAGTTGTGTGTGGGATCATTTCAAAACGAACAAAATTTCAGTTTTAATCACATACTCATGTATTATTATTATTATTAAGTAAGATTGCAACATTTCAGCAGTTAATAGAAAATCAATATAAAGCATTTTTATTAAAACAAGAGAAAGTATCCAAGAACAGGAATAGGAGTATATCCCCATCTTGGATTAGGATTACAATAAAAGCCCAAACACAAACCACAAAAAACGGAAACTAATAACCAAACAGACCCAATTAGAAATATAAAGAAGCTAATAGGCAAACAGTATCCACACGAATCTCAGCCGCACGTTTTACATCCTATCAGACGCAAGATACCACGGTAGTTCAACCCATAGGAAATCACACCACGCTCCAAATTCTTGACTTTGACTTTATTATTGTTTTTATTCAAACAAGCACACGAGACGTATTTAATATAAAGGGGATCCGGCCCTTTTACTATATGGCCAATACCAAACCCGGGACAGATTTTCCGACCCGGTTAGAGAGGGTGCTCTCCCAAAGAGAAGGACAATGGAGCGAAGTAATGGAGCGGGATTTGGAAGAGTTAGTAGCAGTAGTACCGAAACGACTGACAGTGAGGGAAGTGTTGAAGTACTCCCGTACCTGAGTGATTATGCCATACGAGTTAACCGTCCAGGCGTGGATCCAGGAGATTTCGCGATCCTGATCGCAGCCTTCGACGATGACGGTAGATCCAAACGCGTCAATGGAAAGAGGAACGAATTCGAAGGAGTCGGTGTTGTCGTTGTCGGTTCCGGTGAGCAATCGCATCATATACTGGTGAGACGGAGGGCCATGGAACCACCACTCGAGGTCAGGAGCTAAGAGCTTGTGGACGGTTTCGACGTCGCGGCAGCTTAGGGCATGGTAGAGCTGGAGCACCACGCTCTTATTGCTGGAATCCTCCAGAGCTTCTTGAGGGTTAGCCAGTTCTGTCAGAATTTGACGTCTTGTGGATGGATTCCTTTAGAGAGAGAAATAGAATTGATTTCCGAAGGTGTTGGGGTTGGGGATATTGCAAATGGAAATCGAGTTTGGCTTTTATAGGGAGATACATGTTAGGGGTAATTTCGGTATTTACTATATTTCTTTTTTCGTGCGTGTGTGTTTTGCATATGACTATTTGTATGCCCAAAATACGCGTATTATTATTATTTAGTTTTTAATAATTATACAATGTATAACTTGGTAAATCCTTTACAAAAATAAAATATAATTATATAAAAGGATAAATGTCACTTTAATCCAACCATCTTATATTTTTTGGTTTAAATAACATTTTTTTTTGGTTTAAATAGAATCTTTTGTTTTTTTTTTCTTGTTTGTTTGTTTGTTCGTTCGTTTTTTGTTTTATTTATTAGTTTTTTTTCATTAAAGGGGTATGAATTATTAATTTATCGGTCGTATTGATACTTTAACTGGTTTTAAAAGGTTCCGAAGACAAGCCACAGTCCACGTCATCCAATGAGTTAACTTTGAGTCAACTCACTTTACATGTCATCGAGTTGAGTCTGATTTCTTTGCTTGCGTCCTAAGGGTTATTTGGATCCATTGTACATAAAAGGAAGTGTTTATTCATTCAAACGCTAAAAGGTTATACCTATTTTTGGCGAAACACATACCAATAAGGAGGAGACAACTATCGCTTTCAAGAGATTCACGATATGTCTACCCCACCACCATCACCGGATTTGATATCGATAAATTCATGTGAGAGGCTCAACTTCGGTGACTTGCACTCTATATTCTATGATTGTGGGGTTAAAATAGTTGAACAACAGATCAAAGTTGATTACATAAATGAGGAAATAGGTCGCAATTTGGAGATTTCCAGGGTCGATTCACTCACTATGCAACGTCGTTTAACACATACCAAGAAAAATGTCCACACTCTCACTGTTCTAGTTGTGAGACTCATGGTAATGATGTTTGGTTTCCTCGTGGACAAAGTTCACTCTCTTATCAACAATTGATTTTTAGTTATTGATGTGTTTGTGATATTTAGTTATTGATGTGTTTGTGTAGGATTCTGTAGCTATTAATACTTATTAGTGTAACACCGTAAATTTTCAAATAAAATTTTCATTTAAAATACATTAATCTCATTAGCACAATCACCAAAATCCTCATTTTATATTCAGTTATCAAAAACACATGCTCAAAAGTTGTTTATGACACAATCCAGGACCCTCCAAAACAAACCTCCAACTCGTATGTGTACAATCAAGTTGGTGCCTTCCAGTGATCCTAAGAAGTAGCTGAAACACATAACACATAACACGGTAAGCACGAAGCTTTGTGAGTTCCCCAAAATACCACTCATATCTCATTAGCCTCTCATGGATATACTCAAATAAGATCCTCCGATTAATGTGTCTCTGTGGGACCCCCCAGTCCCATAACTCGGGTGGACCCTCCGGTCCTAACTCGGTAAGCTCATAATAATACACAACATAAATCAAAAAGACATAATGCAGTATATCACAATACTCAATATAACACATAAGACACTCCGGTCACACAAGGATTACCACTCTAGGTAAAGTATAGTGAGAAGACTTGCCTCGAAAGCAAGCAAACAAATAAACCTCATTCACGAATCTCTGAACTACCCTCCGCCTAACACATAGGATAATTTTCTCTAATTAACACATAAATCACGACTCTAAATAAACTAGGTTATTTTCTCTCTCAAACTCTTGGGATGGGTAAAAGACCATTTTACCCCTCCATAGTCCCCATAATCCATGTCTTGACCAAACCCTAAAGTCAAAAGAAGTCAACACTCGAGTCAACAGTCCATGTTGGCCCGACTCGCCGAGTCCCCATTGTTCCTTCAGAATTGTCACGAAAGCCACACTTAACTTGTCGTGTTTTCTCGTCAACTCGCCAAGTTACCCATGTCCAGACTCATTGGGGAAAACCCTAGCCGACTCGTTGATTCGGCTCATCGACTCGTCGAGTCCCTTAAGTCTGTTTTCTCATTCAGACGTTTTAAGGCAGAAAGACCACCCCAAAATCTAGATCTAGCCTCCTAAGGTTGAAATACCACATAAAGTTGCAAGCTTTACGTCCATGCAAGTCTAGAAGGGCTAAACTCATCAAAACAAGGCTTTACAAGGATATTAGCTCATGTAGGATGTTCTACGCTTGATAAAGCTTGTGTCTCTTGGTCCAATGGACCTCCTACTGTCCAGATCTGAAGTCTCGTCACCATATCATGCTCAAAATCATAAATGACTCAAAAAGTAGCTAGAAAAGCCATAAACTCATAAATAAGGGGGTCTAATGCTAGAGTGATCAAGGTAACAACTTGGTACCTGAAATAGGATGCCAAAATGAAGTAGATAATAGATCCTCAGCCTCACCCTTTATCCAAGCTCCTAAATCCTCAAGCCTCTTCAAGAATCCCACCAATATAAGCATCGTAAGCCTCACACACACACACACACTCAAGATAAGGTTTAGCTCACTAGGGTCTGTTCTCTGGACGTGGAGAGTGATGAGGGAGGCGGGGTGAAGGCTTAGAGTCCTTTAATTAGGGTGCAAAACCGGAATAATTAGGGTTTCCTTGAACAGCTCCAACTCACCGAGTCAGCCTCTCAACTCGTTGAGTTGGTCATAAAACTCACGCGACTAACTCAGCCTTTACTCGAAGAGTTTGGACCTCTAACTCGTCAACTCACCAGCTAAAATTGAATATATGATCAATAAAATTTGTACCTATAGTTCAAGATGTTACAATTCTCCCCCACTTGAATTATATTTCGTCTTCGAAATTGCTCCTTAACAACCCATAGATTCGAAATTAATGACCCAAGAAGCATCACCGAAAGATCTCATATCATACAACGATCTCCCTTCCAAGACACCCAAACCTAATCAGGAACTCCCAATCCCGAAGAAGTACGAATCCCTTTGCCATTGCGGTACAAGTTCTGACTCTCCAGAACCTAGAAAATCTAGTAATCTGTCTCCCTGCCAGACCGCCCAAGCAAGATATCATCATGTTAATCGCTCATCGAATAACAGACCCCGATAACACACTGTCAACTATGATTTTCTTGTTGCTACTGATGGAAACATGTTGATGACCAATAATTAGCTACCGATCATTCATGTCAGATATACCATATGATCCAGATCGTAGCTCAAAGGAACGTAAGAGTCATATCTCACCAGGGAACCACCACATGTACTGCTATCATAACCCATCTGAAAAATTAACTTCAATACTCTGTCTCCAGACACAAGAAAATGATCATGCCCGCTCGGAACTATCCTCTGACATATATACTCACAAGCCCCAACTTCCTCTCAAATACCCCCTCCAACACTGGGCACAATGTCAGCTCCCGACCCAACAATGGAACCTCCAAAGGCTACCCAATTGCACACCCAATAAATCGACATTACAGACTTCCTTCTCACAATATCTATCTCTACCCATCATATGACACACCAGTAACTAAGTTCACTTTACCTCGAGCGAATACTACAACCCCATTTAAAGTCACTTCATGTAACGTTCGTGTTTTTAGGCTAGGAATTAATAATGATGCAATAGTCTAGGTTAACCTTTATAACTCATTTTGAAATAATAAGAATATATTATTTGAGTATTATGTGTTTTATGTTTAATTGTGTGGTTTAATTGAATTAAGAATAAAAATAAGCATAAAAGTAAAAAGTTAGATAAAACCGATATTGATACATGATGACGTAATGGTCGTGACAAGGATTCTGAATATATAAAGAATGCCGAAATCCGAGTTATAACGAAGAAGTTATGACCTGTCGAAGTTTCGCGACAGAACCGGTACGACACTGCGCGATGTAAATAGTGAATTTACATTAGAGAGATATTTAGCCTTAGTGATCTAAACTAAAGTCATAGAATATGTTAAACCAAGAGTGTATATAAAAGGAACGTCTAAATCTGACTTCGTATGAGGAAGTTATGATTTTTCGAAGTTTCGACTTAGCGATATGCAGCCCAAAGTTCGAATATGAGATCAAGTGATTTCTAGCCGAAACAATCTAAATGAGAATCGAAGATCTCGTCAATAGTAGTGCAATGGAAGAAAGACAGACGAAAACTGACGTCAGATGAAGAAGTTATGAATTTCTAATTGGGATTTTCTGTTCCGGCCTACTAAAAATATTATAATAAAAATAAAGTCAAAATTAGCCGACGAAGTCTAAATGAAAGTTGTAGAGCATAGTCTCACCTACACATGGATATAAAGAACGTAAAAAACGGAGCTAATACATACGAATTTTTGAAGCTTGAGAAATGGGGGTATGCTCAGCGTACTCATGATTCATGGGCTGAATTGGGCCACGTCGCCCTACTCCATCACTCGAGTGTCTCGGGTCCGAGACCATGACGCATCCAATCTGATCCGCTTAGTATGCCTAGCATACCGGGTACGCCCAGTGTAATGCTTGTAGAGGGAGTACGCCCCGCGTACTCTGAGATTACGCCCAACGTAATCCGATACTCAACACCCTATAAATAGAACACAAGGTCAGTCGAGTTTAGTTGCTCAAATTCTTCTCTCTCACCCTTATTCTCTTGATTTACGTGCAAGTTATACCCCCGAATCCCTAGTATCATCCCGACACCCAAATCAAGTCCCGACGCTTTGAAGATCCCGAGAAGAAAAGAGTTTCGAGCTGAAGCTCTGCCCGCAAGAAGCCCAGTGTTTGTGAAGATTTCTCAGTTCCATCAAAGAATTGTTACTTGTAGAGTCATAGTGTTGTCCGATAATCATCTTATCAAGTGAGTGTGTAGTTACTTTCTTCTAACACGTAAATACGAAGTATTTCCATAAAATATGTGTTATGTGTTTATATGTTATGTGTTATTCGAATTGAGTATTGGTTGAATGTTCTATACATGTTTTATGTTGTATATATATTTATATTTTTATCTACGAATATGTTGGGTAGAACATAGGTAGATGTTGATGTATGATGAAATAAAAATGATGAGAGGCCTCGATCTGATTGTGATCTACTTGTCCAACAGAATATGGATGACGACCACAGACTTTTCTAGACAGTTCAGTTGAATTTTGGCAGGCTCATAACCTGTAGGTGTAGTGAACTTGGGTGTTCATTTGTTGTATTCTATCCCCCTCACGGTTGCCTTTAGGACATTTATTGTTGAGGAAGCCCCTTTGCAGTAATGTCCGTCCCGATAAAAATTCCTAGACTAGGTCCCTTGTGATAGTTGTTGTTTTAGGGACGTAAAGTGAGGATAACGGGAATGGATAATCGGGTTATTGTTGGTTGGTGAAATTAAATATAATTATTTATTGTGGGTTGAAAACCCTATATGCTCACCATGCTCCCAAGCCTGACCCACATAGTTTCTTTGTATTACAAGTAGTGGCGCAAGAGCATAAGTTGGAGAACTTGTGAAGATGTTTTTGTTTATAGACCAGTAGTTGTATGTAACCGTGTAAGGTCTAGTTTTTTTGTTTATGCTTTTGTGTCTGTATCGGAACATGACATCCCGAGTTTTGGTAAATAATGAAAACACATTTCTTTAAAAAATGCTTCGGTAAATATTATTTTTATCATATTTTGTTTGGGAACAAATTCCGCAACTCTTTTAAATCAATGGATTTACTCTGAAATTGGTTTATAAAGCATAAATGAAACCGATCTTTTCTGGTCGTGATTCGGGGGATCCCACAGTTGGTATCAGAGCATTAGTTTAAGCGAACTAGGAATTTGCAGGATTTCTAAACTTAAACTTAGAATGCTAAGTGAAATTGTGAGATGTGTGTCTGTTATATTTTAGACACAAGCACTAGTTTATTTTAGGAAAGTTGCCTAAAATGTTTTTATGTGCTAAATGTTATATGTTTATCATATATGATATTATTTGTTCGGATCTATGGTCTGTTGCCGACCAGATCTGGAGACCTTATGTGTGTAGGATTCTAAGCGTATGACTACG